ATTTTGAGTGCAAATCATTCAACAAAACAAATGTCTGTTTATTTCGTTCACAAAAACAATTGGTTTTCAAATCCAATGAATATTTTGCGATATTTTCTAACATTTCATTCAATTGTCTCTCAAATGACAACTCTTTGCGAAGACTTTGGATCTCTTCTCTCAACTCTTTCATCAAATCATTGATCAATAATTTACTCATTTTTACCACAATTTAATCATTCAATCAATTTATTTACAATTAATTACAATTCAATTAAACAATTGTTTTGTAAACAAAACCACAAAATACTTTATTTTTACGAACTCTTTGGCCATAAATAACGTCTAAAACAAAAACCAGTTATAATTACCGTATTAATTAATTTTTAAAGTAAAAATTATATTAATTAAATTACAGTATATTTTAAAACTTCATTAATTTAATGAAATTATAGTTTATGTAAAACATTAATTTTATTTATGAACAACTTTTTTATGTGTATATAAATTCTGTTTATATTTAGTGCTAAACTGACAGCCCTTCACATCACACGCTATGTCTGGTCCCGAATGAAACACCATATGATTTCTGAGACCTGATGTGGTCTTAAACTTGTGCTCACATCCGGGCCAATGACAGGCGTGCGGCCGATCCGTACTATGAGAGCGCATATGACACCGAAGTAGGCCTCGAGAATAGGTCCGGTACTCACACGCGGGCCAATCGCACGTCATCTTCTGATACTTCTTCTGGCTGTGTCTCAGTCGGTGTCGTTTCATCAGTTCCTGTGAATGTGTTCTGTGCTGACAGTCGGGCCAATCGCACCGATACTCACGGGTCGAGTGCACGCCATTCATGTGTCCCCACAAAGCACTCGCCCAATGGAAGGCTCGGCCGCAGTCCTGTTTCGGACACCGGAAGGTTCGGAACTGTGGCTTACGGCTGACACCGGAGTGCATATTGCGTTTGTGTTGCCTTAAATGCTGTTCACTTTTAAACCGTTTGTCGCAATTTTGGTAATCGCAAGCAAATGGCCGAACAGTCGTGTGTTTGAGTCTATGTTGTATAAAATCATATTTATCTCGAAACTCTTTGCCACAGCCCTCATGAGTGCACACATACGGCGGTTTACAACCGCAGACCCACTCGTGATCGGATAGCAGTTCCGGTTTGGCAAAGATTTGCGGACATTTGGCGCACTTGTATTTGTAGTGAGTTTCACTCAAATGCCGGTGATATTCATCGGTGGTGTGGAACCGTTGGCCGCAAGTCATGCACTGCTTGGTTGATTTGGTCGGCGGACAATTGGTTTGATGTTTTGAGAGCAACTCTCGAGTGAGAAACTTCTTCCGACAGACATTACATCCATATCTAAGATGAATGTCATCCAAATGTTTGTGATATTCTTCCAGAGTTTTAAACCATTGATCACATGTATTGATTGAACACTTCTGAATGTATTGACACGTCTTCTTGTGTTTCTCATTTTGCAAACTCTTTGAACATTTCGGACACAAATTATTGTCTTTATGTTTGAGTCGGGAAACAGTTTCGCCACTCTTTGCCAGTGATGTCTTCGATGAGTCTATGCCTACACTCGGGTTTCGAGTCGTAATCAATGGTCTCTTCGGACACTTTATCCGGTGTTTTGAGATTAACAGTTGAGTTAGAAAACCGAGATTACAGTCTTTACACCGATATGTGCAGTGGATTTGATCCATATGTTTGTAGTATTCCTCCTGAGTTGCAAACCTTTGATCGCATGCATGGACTGAACACTTGTATTGATCCTTCATTTCATGTGATCTCTTTGCGTCGCTTTCATTGTCTGAATCCCTGCCATCATTGCTGTCATCAATTGGTTCCGCTTCTGATATTTCTGTGCCTTCACTCGTGCCGTGAGTTTGTGTCAAAGGTATTGACCACTTCGGCGGTCGACCTCTTGGCTTCGGTAGTTGTTGACCAATTGGGGCGACAGTCGACTCACGTATGTCTATATCGCCAACTGATCCGAGTCTTGGATTATCTCTAAATGTGTGGTATTTTGAGTGCAAATCATTCAACAAAACAAATGTCTGTTTATTTCGTTCACAAAAACAATNATTCAACAAAACAAATGTCTGTTTATTTCGTTCACAAAAACAATTGGTTTTCAAATCCAATGAATATTTTGCGATATTTTCTAACATTTCATTCAATTGTCTCTCAAATGATAACTCTTTGCGAAGACTTTGGATCTCTTCTCTTAACTCTTCCACCAAATCATTGATCAATAATTTACTCATTTTTACCACAAATTAACCATTCAATCAATTAATTCACTATTAATTACAATTCAATGAAACAATTGTTTTGTAAACAAAACCACAAAATATTTCATTTTTACGAACTCTTTGGCCATAAATAACGTCTTTTAGACCAAAACCAATTACCGGTATAATTATTAATTAATTTTTTAAGTTTATAAAATTTATTTATTTAATAAATTACAGTATATTTTAAAACGTCATTAATTTAATGTAATTATAGTTTTAATAAAACATTAAACCTATTTATGAACAACTTTTTTATGTGTATATAAATTCTGTTTATATTTAGTGCTAAACTGACAGCCCTTCACATCACACGCTATGTCTGGTCCCGAATGATACACCAGATGTGCGGCCAAACCCGTGGAAGTCTTAGACTTGTGGTCACATCCGGGCCAATGACAGGCGTGCGGCCGATCCGTACTGTGAGAGCGCAGATGACCCCGAAGTAGGTGTCGAGAATAGGTTCGGTACTCACACGCGGGCCAATCGCACGCAATCTTCTGACACTTTTTCAGGTTGTGTCTCCGTCTGTGTTGACCAATCAGTGACTGTGAATGTGTCCGGTACTGACAGTCGGGCCAATCGCACCAATACTCGCGGGTCGAGTGCACGCCATTCAAGTGTCCCCATAAACCGCTGGCACAATAGAAGGCTCGGCCGCAGCCCTGTTTCGGACACCGGAAGTTACGGAACTGTGGCTTACGTCTGAAGTGGACAACTCTTTTGTGCTCTCTTACGTGTTGTTCACTTTTAAACCGTTTGTCGCAATTTTGGTAATCGCACGCAAACGGCCGGTCAGTCGTGTGTCTGAGTCTATGTTTTACAAAAACATGTTTATCTCTAAACTCTTTGCCACAGCCCTCATGAGTGCACACATACGGCGGTTCGCGACCGCAGATCCACTCGTGATCTGATAGCAGTTCCGGTTTGGCAAAGAGTTGCGGACATTTGGCGCACTTGTATTTATAGTGAGTTTCACTCAAATGCCGGTGATATTCATCGGTGGTGTCGAACCGTTGGCCGCAAGTTCTGCACTGATTGGTTGGCGGCGGTGGCGGACAATTGGATTGATGTTTTGCGAGCATCTCTTGAGTGAGAAACCTCTTCCGACAAACATTACATCCATATCTAAGATGAATGTCATCCAAATGTTTGTGATATTCTTCCGGAGTTTTAAACCATTGGTTACATGTATTGATTGAACACTTCTGAATGTATTGACACGACTTCTTGTGTTTCTCATTTTGCAAACTCTTTGAACATTTCGGACACAAATTATTGTCTTTATGTTTGAGTCGGGAAACAGTTT